TGATAACTACACTCTTCTATATTACTCCCACATTTAAAATAGAAAAGCATAGACTCTCTTGATGAGTCATTAGTTTTGAAAAAAGTTAACGAAGTTGAACCACACTTTTCTCTTTTGTAATAATAAATATAGGAGTGTAAGTGGAATAATATAATTATTACTACTCTATGTAATAGCTTAAACAGTTGGCATTCTTTTCTTGATTAAAGAATGAACTTATTTAAACAATTTCAATTTTTATTGTTTTGAGAATCAATAGGCACTAAACCTTTTAAAAGCTACATAATATAAATTTAATGTTTCTATTTCTTTCCAAACATGAGATTATATCTGACCAAGATTACCTAACACACTAGTCTATTTGATTTCTATTGGGGATTTTAGTCCCCCTATTACGATCTCCGCAACTCAGAAACCAATCACCAACTATAATTTATAAACAATCACAATCAATAAGGAGAACACTAAGATTTAACGTGGTTCAATCAACTAACTTCGATCTAAATCCAGAGGGCACAACACAAGGAAATCCACTATGTATAAGAAAAGAGAACTATATGAAGAATCATTTAACTATCGTCTCTCAATCTTTCAATCTCACATGCGTAATTAAACTCTTATATTCTCCCCAAAATCTTCTCCTTATACCATTTTGGACGGACAAAATCTATGGAACTCTCTCTCAACCTTGCAATCTTTTACACAGATAAAGACTGTGAAACCTTCTCCTTTCATATATTTCTTGAATCTGGGTTATGCACTCAACTAACTTAAATTATAAGAAGAGTAGCCATCTTCTTCTTTCTTTCTTGGTTTTCCTCCAATAATAGAATACTATATAGAGAGAAATCAAAACTCTACTTCTAGCCTAACTTCCTAATTAATTAGAATAGGATTCAAGCCCTATATCTGTTGTGCGCAGCGAAAATTTTGGTAGAACCTCCGGTACGCAAGGTACACAACAAGAGATTAGATCATAACTAAATCTCTGTTTCATAAAAGAAACAAGAACCGAAAGCAAAATATCTCAACAAAGTGGGATATCAGCTCTTTCTCTCATTAGTTCTAGGACTGACTTGTCAAGAGAACCTACAAGCTATTATAAATCACAACAAGACAAACTATTTTACGTGATTCGACAAATAGCCTACGTCCACGGGGTAAGGAGGGGGGAGATCTACTATTAGAGGGAGAGAATACAACTAGGGTTTATAATCTCACAATCTAAACCCTCAATCAATCTCTCAAATTTTTACAAAAGTATGCTAAAACCCTAAAAGACGGCTGCACAAAACCCTAGGAGAACAAACCGCACGCCGCCACAAACTCTGCCTTTTTCTTTTTTCCTACTTGCACATGAAGCTCTCTACCGAAAAAACAACCATAGCCGAAAAAGGTCTTCTCCTTGTGTTTTCTCCAAAGCCACATGAAACCCTAAAAAAGAATGTATTTATAGGCTCTCAAAAAACATGTCTCGTGAACACATTTTGCGTTTGCTCATGGGTGTGTCCCCCACGAGCAAAGCGCATCTCGTGACCACGAGACGCGCTCGTGGGTGTGGCCCCCACGAGCCACGCATTCACAATTCTCCATTTCGATGAAGTTTCTCCCAAAACTGAGCCGACACCAAAGCATCCAAATGTCCTACTTGTTGTGTCCAATACGCCGTGAAGTTAATTCATGACAACGGACTCAATCCACAATAAGCTGGGAACCCGAATGAGAGTCCAAACATTCTCACCTTCATCAAAATAAACTTATCCAGCTGGCTGCATCATAAAGACTGCCTACGTATCCTCTTGCCTAAAGAATCAAGCCTCACGTAGTTCACCTAAATGGCCTCCAAAGGCCTCAACACCGAAGAATGTTCAAAAGTTCCAAACAATAACCAAACTTAACACCTAAAACAACTTTGGTCAACATATCCGCAGGGTTGTCCTTTGTGTGGACCTTCTCCAATATGACGTCTCCATTATCCAAAACGTCATGAACAAAGTGAAATCTGACATCGATGTGCTTCGTGCGCGCATGATAAACCTGGTTCTTCGCCAAATAGATAGCTAACATGCTATCACAATATACCCGAAGGGTCTCCTGTGCAATCCCCAAGTTCTCTAAAAATCCACGTAACCACAAAGCCTCCTTAACAGTTTCAGTCACCGCTATATACTCCATCTCTGTAGTAGAGAGAGCCACTGTGGACTGAAGTGTGCATCTCTAACATACCGGTGCTCCTGTCAATGTAAATACATATCCTTAAGTAGACCGGCGCTTGTCAAGATCTCCAGCATAATCTGAATCTACGTAACCAATACAATCTTGTCCATTCTTCTCATCCATCTGGAAAATCAAACCAACATCCATGGTACCTTTGATATACCGTAAAATCCACTTCACGGCCTCTCAATGACCCTTCCTGGGGTCGTGTATGTACCTGGATACCATGCTCACGATCTGTGATAAGTCTGGCCTCGTACACACCATAGCATACATCAAACTACCCACCACACTGACATATGAAACCTTTGACGTGTAATCTCTGTCCTCAACTGAAACAAGTGACATACTAGCTGAAAGTTTGAAGTGGGGAGCCAATGGAGTACTAACTGCTTTTACATTACCATCAAAGCTGAATTTCTTCAACATCTTCTGCAAATAGCTCTTTTGTGTAAGCTTCAATCTTCCCTTCATCATGTCTCTCTCGATCTTCATACCCAATATCTTCTTTGCTTCTCCAAGATCCTTCATCTCGAACTCGGATGGCAGCTCCTTTTTCAACTTTCGAATAGCCGAAGAATTCCTGGAGACAATAAGCATATCATCAATATATAGTAACAAATAGATGTATTCACCATCCTGTAGCTTGTGCATGTAAACAAATAGGTCATATGGGCTCCTCGTATACCCTTGGCCAATCATAAAGCCGTCAAATCTCTTGTACCATTATCGCGACAATTTCTTCAATCCATAAATAGACTTCTTCAGCTTTCACACCAATTTTTTCTTTTCTGCAGCTTTGAATCCCAAGGATTGTATCATGTAGATCTTCTCATCTAAATCTCTGTGTAGAAAGACTGTCTTCACATCCATATGGACCAAATCCAAATTCAGTTGTGCCACCAATGCTAATAAGATCCAAATTGACGAATGCTTCACAACGGGTGAAAATACCTCATTATAATCGATGCCCTCAAGCTGTGCATATCCCTTGGCAACCAATCTGGCTTTGAACCGAATGTCCCCAATAGAAGATCCCTTCTTCTTCGCATATATCCACTTGTAACCCAATAGATAATGTATATGCGGCCATGATATCATTATACCTAGATGGTCGACGAATCATCCTTCTAGGTTTATTTGCTGTGATAGACTCCTGAACATGATCCTGCTCCTAAGTCTCACAATCCACTGTATCCTCTATCTGCCCGGCTATCATCCCATCTCCTCCTAGTGTTACCTCTGTATGAGCCTCGATGGATACAATGCTCTCTAGAGTGAGTGGAGTCACATCATCCTCTACCTGCTGTGATATCTCTCGAATCTGGTCTTCCTCCACCTGCTAAGGCTTCATCATGTACGTCTCGTCATATGTGACATCCCTACTAATAACTATCTTCTTGTCCTGTGGATCTCATAACTTAAAACCTTTAACTCAATCTCTAAATCCCACAAAGACTGCTTTCCTCGCCTTCAGATTCAATTTACCATCATTGACATGGTAATAAGCAGGACACCCAAATATCCGAAGCGACTCATAGTCACTAGCTACCGAACCAGACCAACGCTCTAACGGAGTCTTCCCCTGTATCGTAGTGCACGGCAACCTATTCACAGATGGCTCGCATAAACCAACGCCTCAACCCAAAAGGATTTAGGCAGTTCACTCTGCGTCATCATATACCGCACATTCTGTAGCAATGTACAGTTCAATCTCTCAGCCACCCCGTTTTGTTGTGGTGTCTCTCGAACTGTGAAGTGTCGCCTAATGATGTGATCCCGGTAAAACTGCAGAAACGGATCACTCTTATACTCTCCACCGCTATCTGAACGTAGAATCTTCACCTTTATACATGTCTGCAGCTCCACTTTCTTTTTTCACTCCACAAAAATATCCAGGATCTCATGTTTATGTTTCATAGGGTATATCTAATTCCTCCTGGAATAGTCATCAATGAAAATGATAAAATAGTTGGCCCCACCAAGTGATGTGTTCTTGGACGAACCCCAAACATCTGTGTGAATATAATCTAATATACCTTGGGTATTGTGAATAGCGGTGCCAAACTTCACTCTAGTTTTCTTCCTAAGTACACAATGCTCACACAGCTCCATCTTGCAGGTCTTAGCACCTTTCAATAGCCCATGTTTCGCCAATGATACCACTTGGCTCTGATACCACTTGTTTTGCGCAGCGAAAATTTCGACAGCACCTCCGGTACGCAAGATGCACAACAAGCGAAAATTTCGGCACCACTTGTTTTATGATGGCTCCAAGACAAGACCGTGTCATCAATTACCCTTAATATATAACTTCTAGCGTGTCTCGCGTGTTAATTTTATAGTATTAACTTCAATCCATTTCTCCTCAAACCAAATCCAATGTGGCTTAAATTTATATATTCATGTCAAATCCTACTTACCCGTGTATACTCTTATAAATTAAGAACAAAACATTCAGGTAAGGTATCAAAACGAGCACTATGGGATCTCTTCGTGTCGGTAGCCCGCAAGAGCTACTCAGAGCTCAATCCCATATATGGAACCACACATTTAGCTTCATAAACTCGATGTCACTGAAATGTGCCGTAGAGCTCAACATACCTGATATCATTCACAATCACGGCAACTCCATCACTCTCTCCGATCTATCGAACTCTCTATCCATTCCTCGATCGAAAGCTCCTTGTCTCCGACGCCTCATGAGCCTCTTGGTTCATTCCAAATTCCTCTCCGAAGAGAGAATTGGTGTCAACAATGAAGAATCAGTTTTTTCTCTGACCGTCGTTTCTCAAGTTTTTCTGACGGAAAATAAAAGTAATGCTTCTCCGTTTCTCCTCTTAATGTTGGACCAAATTCTTCTTCGTCCGTGGCATTTTCTTAGCGAGTGGTTCAAAGGCGACGAGCCCACTACCGCCTTTGAAATAGCACACGGGGTGCCCGTGTGGGATGCTATGCGAAAAATGGTAGGATTTAGTGACATGTTCATCGAGGGGATGTCGAGCGATGCTAGTTTTACGACGGAGATCATAGTGAGGGATTGTGGCGAGGTGTTCCGAGGGTTGAGGTCTTTGGTTGACGTCGGAGGGGGCACGGGCACATTGGCACGTGCAGTCGCCAGGGAGTTCGGTTTGAAATGCGCCGTGCTCGAGCTTCCTTATGTGGTCGAGGGGTCGGAGGAGAGCGAGGAGGTGAAGTTCGTCGGAGGAGATATGTTCGATTACGTGCCAACGGCGGATGCGGTATTGCTCAAGGTAAATTACGTATGCCCGTCGAAAATAAAGTTAGTCTTTCGAACATATTAATCCCCAAATTCGACCATCTCCACAATCATGCTGCTATATGAAACTATCGAGGTTACGAGTATACCTCCAGTTGCAGTCCAAGTAAAAATGAAGTCCAATATGTGAAGCTCGAATGTGTCGGGATCGAGGATGTCTTAAGTTAAGCTATTGGGTTAAAGTTCTCTAGATTTTATAAATGAGAGAAAACTCCCATACACTTGCAAAATTAATTACACAAAGCCTTCTAATTTAAACTGTAAAAAGAACATCATGGACAGCATTAACATGAGGGGTGAGACGTCTAAACTAGCCTCGCTAATATTCACAACCCAAAACACCCTCCTCCATTAAAATTAAAAGGTACATAAAGGCAAAATTGACCAAAGTATAGTCTACTTACAAAAAATTCAATACGAGATTGAAATTAATCTAACATATAAACTTTTGTGAAGTTGTTGCTTCCTTTTTTTTTGTCCCCTATTGCAGTGGGTTTTACATGATTGGAGTGATGAAGAATGTGTGCAAATACTCAAAAATTGCAAGGAGGCTATTCCTCTTAAAGAAGAAGGTGGTAAAGTGATTATAATGGAAATGGTTATGGACTCGAGCATTGTTGGTCATGAATTAGCTCAGACCCAATTTCTCTTTGATCTTCACATGATGGCTCATACAACTGGCAAGGAAAGATCTGAACAAATGTGGCAGAAAATTTTCATGGATGCAGGTTTCAGGGGATATAAGATTTTGCCTATTTTGGGTTTAAGATCAGTTATTGAAGTTTATCGTTGATTTATATAACACTTTTGGCTACGGTTTGAGTCCAAAAAGATAACTAGCTCGTTTTACATTTTGCTTATCTGAAAACATATATGATGTCCATAGTCATTTGTAGTGTGTGTGTTTGTTTAAGTTTAACGTATGTGTCAGTGAGTATTTCTCTCCCACTTCGTCATGTTCATATACATAAGGCAATTGTATGTGTTGTAGTATAAAATTATAACTCTCAGCCTTTACATAACTTTGGAGTTTTCGTGGGTAAGATGTCATTATTTAATTCCAAGGAAAGGTGAGCGATTCTAATTTCTTCCGAATATATGTAAAGATGTTACATTTATATCTGCGATTCTACTGAACTAATTTAAAATCATGAAGAACAGAAGATAATTTAAAATCCTAGAAGAGGAACCAACATCATGCCTTGATACTTAGATTGAGCGAACAAAAGGCCCAAGAAAAAATAGTCTATGCTTCAATCTCAAGCGGGGATAGGGAGGAGCAAATGTTGAAGTATTTGTCTTGTTAAATGTTAAAGTATTTGTTCGTGTGCCTATGTTAACTGTAGTACTTAGATGGGCCTATTAATTTTTATCTTTCAGTTCTTAATTATGGACTGTTCGGAATGATGCATCAGTATTAAAAATTGTGTATAACTAAGATGGTTACTGTTCTTTTTTTTCCCCAATTCTTTTTCCCATTTTTTTTTGTTGGAATGCTTATGTTGCATATACTTAATTTTGCAACTAAGGTTGGCTAAAACCCTCCAAGTTTGCATATATTTAATGCGTATGTATCTGCATTTAACTCGTGATAGTCATGTTCCTCCATAAATATGTCTGTTGTACATCCTACATCAGTTAATATGATTCTCAGCCACTTTCTAAGATTCGGTTTAACTCACAGAGGCCCGATTGCTCCCAAACATTCTAACAATGAATGAATAGAGATAATTATCGAGATATAGCTGAAACGAGTTATGAAAGTGTGATATTATTTGAATGCAGGTACTATATGTGCTCTTATGTAGTGCAAAAAAAAATTAAAGAAACATGAAATGATTTGTTACAAGGTACATAAACCTGCTACCGTTACATTGTATATAAAACACAAGAGAATTCAGCTATCTACATAACAATTGAGGGCAGGGGATAAGAGTGACTCCTTTTAGAAAAGCCATAAAGCCTGCAATGCTAGATACAAGCATCAGTACACCTCCACATTCCATTGCTCTGCCCTCTTCAATTCCTTTTTGTAAGTCAACCAATCAATACCTGTCAATTGAGTAATTAATCATATTTAGCGCATAAGAAATCATATATTAATCATTCATTATAACGAAAACTATAATTTTGTTACCATCTTTAGCTGCTAATGACACCATAATGTCATCAATACCCTTCTCCATTCCTTTCAATCCACACATATAAACATATGTGTTGTCTTTCTTCAAAAGCTCCCATAATTCTTCTGCGTATTCTGCCATCCTAGTTTGTATGTACATTTTCTCACCCTTCTCATTTTTTTGCTCTCTGCTAACTGCAAAGTCTAGTCTGAAGTTGTCAGGTGCTATCTCCTTCATCTTCTCAAATTCCTAAACATGGTGAAATGTTTTTTCTTAAATAATAAATATGTTATTAAAAGTGAAGAAAGAAACCTTAATATATGAATGATAAGAGTCTTACTTCCTTGTAGAGCAATGAGCTACTTGTGGGAACTCCCAAGAAGAGCCATGCCAATCCATTGAACTGAATAATCATGTGAGTCACACTCATGAGGTAGTATTCATCAGGAATTTAGTAATTGCTAAGCTTGAAATAGTAAAAAGTAAATGAAAAGCTTAACCAATATTTAAAAATAAATAAAAAGGAAAGGGATTTAGTACTTTAAATTTGACAAACTTACAAAACTTTAAAGAACCAAATGTTACTTAAAGAAATGAGAATAAACAGAAAAGTTGCATCCCATTATAACAAGTGCATTGTGCAGAGTGAAAAAAAAATCCTCATTCAATAATCTATACAACTTGGTTTATCGATTGTAAATACTAAATGCTGTGAATAACTTGAGTTAATTTTTTGGAAAATATACAGTTTCGGGTAGCTCATGAACTAATTGCTCACAAACAATATACTTTGTGAGACTTACCTTGTAATCATCATGTTTCTCGAAGAACATTTTCCATAAGAAACTGCGGAATGGAGCAATTCCAGTTCCCGTTCCGAGCTACAAATCCAAATACAGAAAATCTTCACAAAATTTTATTTTGTATGAGGAAAAAATTATAACATAACACTAAATGAAGAATGAAACTATACCATTATAATAGTAGCATTTGGATCTTTAGGCATAAGCATTTCCTTTCCAACTGGTCCTGTAATCTTCACTTCTGAGCCAGGCTTCAAATCACCTGAAAATTAATTAGCATAACATATTACTATACTCAACATAATCAACCTCCAACAATTGAAACAAATTAATTCACTATAAAAAGGTAATTAATATGCAGGTCCTCACATAAGAAATTTGAGCACACTCCCTTAACAATCTCTCCCTGATCATTGGTATATACCAATCTCTTCACACAGAGAGAAACCTGCAGAAAACATGTTTATTTGCTATCAATGTTACAAAATCAATAAGGAAAAAACATATAAGAAATCAAACTCACAGTTTTCGAGTCACCAAAATCTCCAAGAGCACTGCTAGCAATTGAATACAATCTCAGCTTGTGTGGTTTCCCATTCTTATCAATCCCATCAGCGATTACACCAATAGATTGACCTTCTCTGTATGGAACTTCCCCTGAATGAAGGAAAAAAGTTAGCAAAAAAAAAACTGTAAAACATGAAACTCTGCTATTTTTTAAAGATAAAAGATTGAACCTTTTCCGGATTCATTCTGATTTCAAAATGGATTTTTTTTTCAATTCCACTATATTCATCTTTTTTTTTCCATTGAGTGGGTCATTTGATAATACAAAGTTTAGTCCCACATTCGAGTAGCGCTTCACATTTAGTGGGGTCGTTGTGGCTTAATCATTTGTCGTTGCATAGAACCGAAGGTTCTAAACATATTTTCAATTTTTTTCCCTCATTCTTCCATTCTCATATACCTCTATCTTCATAAATACTAATTTTCTTTATTATCAATAAATCATGAGTCTGGCTTAATTAAGAGAAAATAATACCTTCAGTGCTAAAAACCATGTGCCAGGTCTCTCCAGGAGCATCATCACCAGTGATCTTGGTATTAAGGAGGCATCTCCCTGTGTATGGTGTCTTGGGCTTGAACTTGTTGGTAACAACACCCTCTTCATTTTTCTTTGATACCTTTTCAACCTTTGCAGGAGTCTCTGTGGTAACCTGAGCTTTTATAGACCCCGGCTTTAGACTTGTGGATACATTTCTTGGGTACAAGCTTATCTGCAAAGAAAAAAAGCGGTAAACTCCGTAGTCAAATTTTAGTTTCCACCGTTCATTCGTATTCGCTGACATCGATGATTAGAATTTCATGTTATATAAGAAAAATTGCAGCATTTGTTGCAGTTTTGTGGATAGGTTTCTCGGCTACAAATTTCCAACAATACGCAAATATTGCAGTCAAATTTTGATTTTCAACTACTGATTAGCAGTAGTTTGTTCCCTTTGGCATATTCTCTATAAATTTTATTTTATCTTATTTATTTATTTATTTTTGATGATCCAACTTAGAATCGAACAAAAGACTGTGTGAGCTATATTGGAACCTCCCAACTATCCGGATCACCCGCGGTGGGTCATGTTGTCAATAATTTTCTACAGGAACAATCGTGTTGTTTTTCATTTTTGTAATTTTGAAGACATGCTGACATGCTGTCTTTATAGCTGGATGTTTCATTGAGTCCTTATTAGTGAAACACTTTATTGTCAAAAAAAAAATTATTGGTTATCATCATCAACTTTAGGAATGGTTACAGCAAATGCTGCAATTTCCTTGCAGTCAAATTGTAAAGATTAATATGATGTTCTCAAGTTAATGAACTCCAACTTACATACTGTAATTAGGGCTAAAGTTAAATAAACGTTTTATTTGCAGTATCTACACAATAAAAGGTGTGAATCCAATAAGATTTTACAACTAACCAAATACTACATTTGCATTCACAAATAGGTTTTCACAGTAAAAAAACAGATATCAGAACCATGTATTTGAGACTACTTTCCTGCAATAAATGCTATGCGCGATATTACTGTATGCAAATATTTGATGTATTAAGGATTATAGCATATTAGGTGGACTTCAGTTTTCTATGTTCATGAGTGGGTTGCAATAGGATTAATACCTTGTTGAAGTTGATCCTGTCTGTAGAAGAGATGGAGGTTTTTGCAGGCAGCAGAGAAGAGGATTTCGACGTAGGAACAGAGACTGAGGCTGTGACAGCAGCAGAAGCCATTGTTGCAAGTTTTGGTTATGTTGCTTTGATTTCAGGAGAAAACAGAGGGAAGAGGAGATAATAAGGAGAAGAGCTAGGTTCAAAAGAAGAAGGGGGGTTTGAGGATTGGGGAGGATTTTTAGTGGGTGGAGGAGATTGTGGGAGGAAATGAGGTGGTGGTTGTATATTTGGAAGGGCTTATGAGATATTTGTAGGAGTGGATAAATAGTTTGATTGCAACTCTTTGAGATTAGTATTTGTGATTCAGTCACACCATAGTATGAGTGTGTAACTTAGTAGTAATATCTACTCTGGATGTTAGATCGCTGAAGATATAGAAATTGTTGAGTATAATGATGGAGATTGAATGAATTGTTAATTTTCTCATTCACAATAGGAGCGTATAAATAGGGTACAAGGGATTACATCAGATCCTAAATCAATGCTAATTACAATCCTCTAATTAATGATAATTATAAATAAGGAAGGTCAATGCTATCCCCGGCAAGATCAAGTGTGGGTCGGTACTTGGAGCTTGGACCTTAAGAAACTGAACCAATGTGAGCCAAGAGGCTTAGTAAAGATATCAGCAAGTTGATCAGCAGAGATGATATGTTGAACTTTGAGAAGACCTAAGTCAACGCGTTCTCGAACGAAATAATAATCAAGATGAATGTGTTTCGAGCGAGAGCTAATGATGGGGTTTGCTGTCATGAATGTTGCCCCAATGTTGTCACATTAAAGGATAGGTGGTTGTGATTGTGTGACACCAAGTTCATGGGGAAGTTGTTGAAGCCATGATACCTCAGTAGTCGTATAAGCAAGAGCGCAAAATTCAGCCTCAGTGCTTGATTGGGCTACCACTTGTTGCTTGCGAGAAGTCCAACTGATAAGGTTTGGGCCAAAATAAATGGCAAAGCCATACTGAGAGCGACAATCATCCTTGTCAGAGATCCAACCAGCATCAGAATAAGCACGAAGATGAGTAGAGGAGTCACGCTGCAGAAGTAGACCATGATCAATCGTACCTTTAAGGTAGCGCAAAATGCGTTAGTAGAGGAGTCACGCTGCAGAAGTAGACCATGATCAATCGTACCTTTAAGGTAGCGCAAAATGCGTTTGGCAGCTTGCCAATGACCATGATCAATCGTACCTTTAAGGTAGCGCAAAATGCGTTTGGCAGCTTGCCAATGAGTAACAGTGGGGTAATGCATGAACTGACAGACGCAATTAACAGCATAGGAAATTTCCGGGCGGGTAATTGTGGCATACTGGAGAGCACCCACAACTTGTCTATAGAGACGTGCATCAGCAACAGGTTCACCGTTTTTCTAAAGTCGAGAACTAGGATCAGTTAGCGAAGAAATTGGCTTAGCATCAGCCATGTGATAACGGGCCAAAACATCCCGAATATACTTTGACTGAGACATAATCAAGCCAGAAGCATGAGGCAAGACTTCAATACCCAAGAAGTAACGCATGGTCCTAAGTCTTTCAATGAGAATGTCTGATGAAGAATGCTGATAAAGTGGTTGATGTAGCCTGAATCACTGCCTGTAAGGATCAAGTCATCAACATATACAAGCACATAAATAGTAGTAGTGGATGACTTGTAAACAAATAGTGATGTGTCAGAGTAGCAAGCACAAAAGCCATTCGAAAGTAGAAAGGACTTGAGCTTATTGAACCAAGCTCGAGGAGCTTGCTTGAGACCATAGAGGGCTTTGTTGAGAAGGCAAACATGGGAAGGTCGTGACTGATCAGTGAACCCCTTGGGTTACTCTATGTACACTGTTTCAGCCAAGTCACCATTCAGAAAGGCATTGTTCATGTCAAGTTGACGAATAGGTCAACCCTTTGATAAGGCTAAGCTGAGAACCACACGAACAGTAGTGAGTTTGACAATAGGACTGAATGTGTCAAAATAATCAACTCCTTCTTCCTGATGAAATCCTTTTGCCACCAAACGAGCCTTGTACCGCTCAATTGAACCATCAGCATTCCTCTTGATCCTGTAAACCCACTCACAACTAACAAGATTAGTATCACGGGGACGGGGTACAAGTGACTAAGTGTTACTGCTCATTAAAGCCTTATATTCGGCCTGCATTGCCTGTTGCCAACAAAGATGCTTGTTGGCCTGACCAAAGGTGATAGGTTCTTTGTCAGGAAGGGGATGTGGATCATTGGAGATCGGATGGTGAGTGGTGGCGAAGGTTTTAGGTTGCAATGAATTTGTGTGGGCTCAGGTGGTCATTGTGTGAGTGGTGGTGTCAGAAGGATGAAAATATGTAAGAGCATTGTGGTAAGGCCGAGGTGGAGGAGGAGGCGGTGTAGGTGATGTAGGGAGTGGAGTGGATGTGGGGTTGGGTGACACCGGGGAGCCAAGTGTCGTGGCAGGACATGGGTGACTATCATGGTTTATAGGAGGTGATGGGGAATCTGCATCCACGGTGAGCTCAAGTAGATCAGGTGGTGCGGGGGAGGATTCGGAGGAGGGTGGTGGTGGTGATAGTACTCTGGCTTGATTGGCATATGGATATACGTCTTCATCGAAAAAGACATAACGAATAATGTAAGTTCTGGAGGTAGGAATGTGGAGACAGAGGTACCCTTTGTGTTTGGAACCGAACCCAAGAAAGACACATGGAAGAGACCGAAAGTCCATTTTGTGGTTGTTGTAGGGACACAAGAAAGGGTAACATAGACAACCAAAGGTTTTGACGAAGTCGTAGTCAGGGATTTTAGAGTAAAGTTTTTGGTACGGAGAGGTGTAGTTAAGAGTAGACGAGATGGTTCGATTGTGGAGATAAGTGGCAGTATGAAAGGCATGTTCCCAAAGGATGAAGGGAGATGATGATTGAGCTAGGAGAGTTAACCCTTTTTCTACAATAATTTGATTTCTACACTCTGCAGCTCCATTTTGTTCCTACGTGTAAGGACAAGAGACTCTATGGTGGATACCATGAGTAGACAAGAAACTTGACACATTTCGAAATTCACCACCCCAATCAGTTTGAAGACATTTGATAGAGGACCCAAATTGTGTTTGAACCATTGCCCGAAACTGTTGGAAAACATTGAACACTTGAGATTTGTAACTCGAAAAGTAGATCTATATAAATTTGGTAGCATCATCAATGAAAAACATAAAATACCAATTTCCATTTAAGGATAACACAAGAGCAGGACCCAAACATCAGAATAGATTAATTCAAATGGTTTATCAGACCTAACATTAGAAGTAGGAAGATGAAAATGATGACTCTTGCCTAACTGACAGGCATCACAGATACTTGGAAATTTATTGGAGTTGGCAGAAAGTTGAAACTGAGACACTAGACGATGAAGGATGTGTTCATGAGGATGAACCAGACGATGATGCCAACCAAGTAGGGAGGTGTGGGAGCCGAAGTGGATGGAGGGTGGAGGTTGGTGTGGTCGTGGCTGATGGAGGCGGTAGAGGCCGTGATCAACGGTTCCGTGGAGGATCGTGTTGCCCTGCAAATTCTTGACAACACAACAATCAAGATAAAAAATCATGTAGGTGTTGTTATCTCGATTTAGTTTTGAGATGTTGAGTAGGTTTTTGGTGAGATCGGGCACAATAAGAATATTCTTTAAATTGATAGACATAGACTTTGTAGGCAAAATAGTAGAGCCAGAATGAGAAATAAGCAATTGATTACCATTACCAACAGAGAGATTGTTGTCCCCGCGATACGCGTCTGAAATAGTCAGTCGGTTGAGGTCATTAGAGACATGATCTGTAGTGCCCGTGTCAAAGTACCAGGCGAGGTCTGTAAGAGAGGATGGGGAAGCATAGTGTGCAGAGTGCTCAGCCTGATGGTCAAATGAGCGATGGTTGTTTCTTGGGGGTGGCGGACGCGTAGGAAAATCGGTGTGGTTGTTTCGATTGTAGCAATTAATCGCCATGTATCCCATCTTGTTACAGATTTGATATTGAATGCACCTACGTGTGGTACCATCTGGGCCATAGCTACCCTCCAAAACACCAGAGGAAGGCGGAGCATAGGAGCGTCCACAGCTGTAGCGGGAGGAAGATCCACCATGCAAATTAGTGTAGACTGTGTTGGCCGATGGAGCAATGACCGAGCTAGTAGTTGGAGATGGTAACGAATCAGATGGTGGTTGATGACGTTGATTCTCCTAATCAATCCTTTCTTCTTCTTGCAGCAACAGACCAAGTAAATCATCAACATTAGTCTCTTCGGGTCGCATCATGAAGGAGGTAATAAAAGGGCCATACGAACTATCAAGTCCGTTCAAGATATAGCCAGTGAGATCTTCATTTGAGATAGGTTGAAGATTCTCATCAAGTGTATTAGCAATTGCACGTTTGTTTTCGAAGTACTCCATGATGGATAAGGAGCCCTTTGAGAGATATTGAAGTTGGTTTTTGAGAGCCATTCGGCGGGCCCGAGACTGAGCCTGAAACGTTCGATCGATGGTAGTCCAGGCTTGACAGGCGGTGGTAGCACGAACGACGGTGGCGAGTGCACGCTCAGAAAGAGTTGAGCAAAGCCATAGGAGTACAAAGCGGTCACAACGACGCCAAGTGATGTACTCTGGATTCGAATTGGGAGGAGTCGTAACGTCAGCGGTTTGAGGTTTGTACTGAGGAGGCGAGTCATCAGTCAGGATGTGAGCCTCCAACTCGAAGGCTTGAAGCGCCGGGAGAACAACATTGCGCCATAAAGAGAAGCTCGTCCAATCGAGCTTGACATTGATTGATGGAATCTGGAAGTTCAGTGGGGACGAGGAGTTGGTAGCCACAAGGAGTTGGCCGGTGAGACCGGTGGTGGTTCTGGTGTTGTTGGCCATAAAGTCAGAGGTGATAAGGTTGTTGTGTGCGTGAGGCAGGATCGGAAAAAAGAATTGAACCTAAGGCTCTGATACCATATAATGATGGAGATTGAATGAATTGTTAATTTTCTCATTCACAATAGGAGCGTATAAATAGAGTACAATGGATTACATCAGATCCTAAATCAATGCTAATTACAATCCTCTAATTAATGATAATTATAAATAAGGAAGGTCAATGTTATCAGATCCTAAATCAACGCTATCAGATTCTAAATTAATGCTATCAGTTTGACCCTATGATTACGCTAATATTGAGGATTATTATTACTATTATTTTGAAAGAAGATAGACCTCCCAAGCTT